TGGATTAATGTCAGGGTCTTCAATTCGATTCCATTGGTCCGTATGTCGGTTTTTATACCAGTACCAAGCTGTTTTTATTACTATAGCTCTATAGTAGAGTTTGAGGTCCGGGATGGTGATGCCTCCAAGGGTTGCTTTATCGTATAGGATTCTTTTAGCTTCTTTGTGAACCTTGTATTATGTACTGGAAATTGGTCACACGGTGCTGAACGGCTTGGGCATCAACCTTGGATTACAAGGTACTTTCTTCCAGGAAGTGTTGCTAGACATTTTTACAGATGGGAAACTTGGCATCACAGAAGTGGTTTTCCTGAAATGAGGATTCCAGCTCTACCCTACTCTCCGTGCTGAGTTACTCTACTAAAGCAAGCCTGTCTGTGAAGATTATCCACAAGAACAGAGCTTGTAAAGATGATGAGGTCCCACAAATTGGCAGAATACACACAGTAGAGAGACCACAAGGATGAGGGGAAAGCAGGTTGTATACCCAGAGGCCAATGGCAGCATCCATACTGGTATTCGCCAAAGACCAAAGTCAGGAAGAATACACTAGATGAAGACCTGTGGAAACGTGTCTCAGGTAGAATAAAGATGATGTGTCCAGGGAAGGGCATGTCCCTCCTGAGGACAGCACAGTGTTGTGTAGCCACAAGATGCAAGGGGAAACTGTATAGGTAGTTCAGGAGAGCAGAAGCAGAAACACTGGAGAAACTAGGCAACAGAACTCTGAGGTCGGGCCCTTAATTAAGGATGTCATCATCAGAGAAGGGAGGAGAGCGAGAGAAGAGACCAGTTGCAAGGCTGCCCCTCTTAGCACACCAAAGCATATACCCGGGTTCTTCAGAGGATCAGACCAACAGGTCATATGATGTAAGGTGGATGAGTGCAGGTGGACTACAGGCCTCAGCTGAGACATCTCATGACCTGCTGGCTGGCAGCCAGTGATGTCATTCAGTTCAGAGGTCTGAACTCAGTCTGAGGCCAACGTCTGGGGCTAGGAGAGGTTGTCCAAGAGAGGGACTTCGTCCTTCTACCTTTTTGTTCTATTCAGGTCCTCAAATGATTGAATGATCCTGCTCACATCTTCTTTACTAATGGTGATTGATAAAGAATACACAGACAGACAGACAGACGACAGACACACACACACAAAGAGAGAGAGAGACAGAGACAGAGACAAAGAGAGAGAGAGAGAGAGACAGAAACAGAGACAGAGAAACAGAGAGAGAGGCCTTTGAGGGAGAGCCAGGGGCTGTCTTGTTCATTCTTTTAAAGGACTTGTAAAGATTACATTTTATTTATTTTGTGGGTGTGGGAGTGCATGTGCCATGGTAGTCACATGGAGGTCAGAGAACAACTTTGAAGAGTTGGTTTTCTCCTTCCTTTTCATCACGTGGAACCCAGGGATCAAAGGCAGAATGTCAGGCTTGACTACAAGGCACCTTTACCCACCAAGTCATCTTGACCGCCCTCTGGACCATTTTCTTTAGTTCCTGCAGAAATGACTGCATAGATCTTGGGAACAACATTATGTTGCCCTTGTGCTAAGAGAAAATTACTTTTTCTTTGGACAACTTTCGTGCATTCTTGCTTTTCTTTTTCTTTACAGGGGAGAACATGAATGCAGTCCCCCACTGCCACAAATCATACAGTTGAGTTTTCTGGATGTGAGGAGATCTCAGGGTCAGCACAGCAGACTGTAGTAGATGGGCCTTACCCTGAGAACGCCATCTTCTTGACCTTGCCATCTCCCAGGCTGGTGAACGTTACTGATTAGTTTGTAGGACAGGGCCTGGCTACACAGCCCATGCTGGCCTTGAACCTGAAACCTACCTGCCTCGGTCTTCTCACACCTGGCTTTAGGGTGTCAGCTTTTTAAAGTATAGTAAATATACTTAGTGGCTGGAAAGCATCTTTAATATTTTCTCCACTTGTGTATATTTGGCACAAATCGTTTCCTACTCCTTTTGCTTTTGAAGCCCCCATCACTTTCTCTCCGAAGGATGTTGCCATCGGCATCCGAGTATTGAAAATGCCCGTGAGTTGTTTCTTTTGACCAAATTCCAGCCTGAATGACTGGATTACAGATCTGCTATATTT